AAAAAAAAAAAAAAAAAAGAATATGTAAGTGGTGGTCCTTCAGGAGGCCATCAGCCCAGGCTGGTGTCTCCATCCTTCATAGGGCCCTCAACACAGAGGGATCCACTGTGGGTGGCTTTGACTACAACACTGCCAGCTTCTGCCCTGCCATGACACAGCATAGTGGTCCCTCAATCCTGAACTCCCCGGCTTCACAGCCAAGAACCAAATCACTCATTACTTATAATCACTCATTGCCTACTCTGTGGTGTTCCAGAAACAGAAACTGGACTAGGACTACCCAGTACAAGGGAAAGGTTGGAGAACCTGCCTAAGGGGAGGGGCCAGCAGGGGAGCCGAGCCCCAGGCTCCTGGGATTCTGGGCTGCTGTGCCTGCATCAAAATCCAGCTGAGCCACAGACACCCACCAGTGCCCAAGGAGCCTGGAGGATTGCTCCACATCAAGGTCCTCGTGGCAAAAATGGTTCATGCTCCCGTCACCTCTCACGGTCCAGGAAGGAGACAAACAAGAAATCTGTAGTCAGGGCAGATGGGCTGGGCCACTTCCTGTCAGGAAGAATTCATACTCCGTGCACTCTCTGCACCTCTTTTCTTCCCTGCCAAGTGACCCTATCTTGCACTCAAGTCCCCCTGTGTCCAGGGAGGCGTGTCAGGTCCTGCTCAGCCTTCCTCATCCCTGTGCCCTGCCCACCCACCTCCTGCTGCTTCACTCCCAGAGCCAGCCCTGAGTCTACTCTGGAGGTCCTCAGAAGATGTCAGGCCTGTGGGGCTGTGTCCCATTTAACTACAATCAGCCCCCACCCAAGCCACGGTGTGAGTCACTGACAGCTGATGCCTCAGCTGTGCCACCTCCCATGCCTTCACTGTGGATCCCAGCTGGGACACTGCCCTAAGAGTGCCCCACCCAGGTGCCCAAGGTAAGCCCTGCGTGTGGGTCATAGGCAAAGGCAAAGCGATTAGCAAGGGCTAAGCACGGGCAGTGAGGGAGCGAGTCACTTGAGGAACACCAGAGGGGTTCACTCGAGGTGAGTGGGAAGCAGGAGGCTGAGCAGGATGAGAAGGCGGCAGCTCAGCCAGGGACACAGGGAAACCGGAGATGCTAGGGGCTGGATGGCCTCTGCAGAGCCGCCCTCTGGCCTATCCTCTCCAGGGAGCTGAGGACTCTGCCCTGGACAGCATGTCCGTGGTCTCTGCCCCTGCAGGTTAGCTCTGCCCACCTCATTGACCCAGGGCCAACCATGCATGGTCCAAAAGTATCCAGTGGGAAATTCCCAGTGGGTTGTGATGATTGCTCTACTTTGCTATTAGTTATTTTACCAATAAAATTTTTTCTGGGTCTGTGTGCACAGGAAACAGTACGGACCATGTTCCTACTCCAGCACCCACGGGGCTGGACCATCCCACCCCAAGCAGGAGCGGCTACACCTCGAGCGCCTCTAAGTGCTCTTCACCAGCCCAGTCCCCGCTGTGGTTGCTTTGTCCTTCATCAGCCCAAGCTGACAGCCAGGCGGAAGAGCAGCCCAGGTCCCCATGATCACCCACTCTTCTGCGTGACCTCCTGCTACGGGCCCTTAGGGACCCCTAAGGTGGGCCCAACCTCAAGGCAACACCCAGCCACACACAGCCCTGCCACATGGTCACCACACAGACTCACCTCGGAACCAGTACTGGTACTGGTCCACTGTGAGGACTTGACCCAACAGCTCCAGTCCCCACCTCTCTGGCCCCAAACACGTGGTTTGCACCCTGCCAGGCAGGTGTCCGATGCAGCCTGCACCCTGGGCTCCTGGGCCCCACAGCCCAGCCTGGCCACAGCTGACCACATCTACAGCCTCTTTGTGAGGTCAGCCACCCTCTGGCACTGCCTCTGCCCCAGGAGGTGTGGGCTGGGAGCCCAGAGGCCAACGGGTGTGGAGTGGCTCTGAGGGGCTTTGCTACTGTACAGAAATTTCCATTGGGCCCCCCTTTGTGGCCCAGGACTCAGGGACAGGGTGAGGCACCAACACCAGGCTCAGAGACTCCAGGATAAGGAAGCTCCAGGGGCGGGGAGGGCACAGGAGCAGGGTGCCAGCCGCTGGCAAGAACTGTGCCAGGAGCAGGGCAGAAGGCATCAGCTGGCCATTGCCACACTGCCTGGCTCCTCTGCCACTGTACCCCAGAGCCAGGTGACCCTGTGTGGCCCACCAGCCACACCTCTACATCTCCAAACCTCCCAAGCTGTACCTTGCTGTCCTGCCGTACTCAATCCCAAGTCAGTCCCACAGGAGCAGACTCCCAGCCACCCTGCAACAAAGGCAGCCCTGGCAGAGGATGCTGCCCCCCAGCACAGGGGCGCAGGTGCTCATGGTCCTCCTCCAAGCCGAATGCAGGTCAGCACAATAGGAGCTCAGATGTTTGCAAGCTATTTGTAGGTTTAAACTCAAGAACTCTTCGGCAGAAGGTACAAAACACAGGAGCTAATGGAATAGAATAATCCAGCCACAAATTTGGTAAACACACACACACACACACACAAACACACACATACCCCACATCCCCAAAGAAGCTCATTTTTCTCTTGGGCACACATTCATGGATGAAGGCCACAAAACTGCTCCGGGTCCCTCTTGGACCTGGCATCTGTATCCACCAAAAGGAAAAAGAGACACCATATCCTGAAAGCTGTATCCCCAGACTGGACAGGATCCCCCCATGGTGGCTGCTCCTGCTCCAGGGAGGCAGTCCCAGGACAGGAAAAGTGTTGGTCGTGTCAGCAGACCTCACATCTGGAGGGAGTGGGGTTGTCCCTGATGAGCAATGACAGAAAACAGCCTCCTGATGCCACCCCCCCAGCTGCCCTCAGCCTACCAGGGTACCAGTTGTTCCCTGGGACTTTGTCCTCCACTGTGGGCAGCGTGAGGACTTAAGTAAGCACAGGAGGCTGTGCTTACTGTGGGCACTGCAGGAAGAGGCTGGGCCCAGCTTGCTGCCCACGTAGGGCTTTATGACAGCCTCACTGAATTAAATTCACCTCCACAGGACACTGAAGCCGGGACTTGGTAGCATCCAATATAGCCAGGGTTTCATACCCCAATCACAGCAACACTAGAACATTTGCACTGTCCTAGAAAGAAATTCCATCTCCTCAGCTGCCACCCTGGTGCCCTGTCCCCTTCTGGCCCTGGGAAGGCTCCTTCTTCCCTTTATGCAGGCAGCCCTGTTCTGGTCATTCTGTGTGGACAGATCCACATGCTCTGTGGTCCTCCTGGTGTGCGTCCTCCCACTTGGAATTGTCCCAGGTCAATCTGCATTGTGCCTCGTATTGCTGTTTAACTCTGCTCTTCTGTCAAATAATCACTGTGTGACTGTCCTGTTTCATTTGTCCTTTCTCCCACTGAGGAACATGGGGGTCATTTCTATTTTTTACTGTTGTCAACATTGCTATCATCACTCCGAGCCAAGCTTTTGGGTAGACATAATGCTTTTGCTTCTCATGGGCATTCATGCGGGAGTGGGATAACTGGGCCATATGACAGCTTGCCTCTAGGAGGAGTTCCCGGATGTCTGCTGCAGTAGCTGCCCCATCAGACATCACCGCTACAAGTCTCTGAGAGGTCCAGCTGCTCCACACCCTTGCGGATATCTGCCTTCTGGTTGTTTTGATTACAGCCAGCCTAGTGGGTAAGAAGAAGGGCAAGTGGTAAGGATCAGACAAATGCATCACAAAAATGTTCAATTGGCATAATATCAAAAAAAAGGCAAATCTAACAAGAAACCTGGAGAAAAGTCATAAACACACAAATTACAGGAAAATAGATATAAATGTCTCCACTGCACCAGTGAATACATGAGGTGTGATTGAAAATTACAATAGGCTTACATTTTGAAAATTAATTACAATAAGAGACACCTCGGCACGAGTCCCCTCAGAACCCTCCCCTCTTCACACACACTCTTCCCATCATCCTTGTCACCGTCTCAAGCCGTGCTCGGAGTCATCTTCACTAAGTGTCTTTAGTTGGGTGTTTGTGGCTGTTTTGACATCCTGCACTGATTCAGAAAATTTCCCTTCCAGGGTCATTTTAATTTGGGGGCCGAGCCAGAAGCCCAGTGGTACCAGATCCAGTGAATACGGTGGATGAGGACCCAGTGCCGCGTCTGTATGAGCTGTCTTTGCATTGGACAGCTCTCAGCCGCAGCCTCCACCATCTTTTTTAATCAAACCTCATGTACACAAATGAACACTTCTCAGAACCACTTCAGAAGTGGCAAGAATATGGGACAAGTATATGTACAGTGAACAGGAGTGTTTCGAAGGGTGGGGGACTAATGGAAAAGTGCCTTTTATTGTAATTTTTTAATTTAAATATTTACCCTTCTCTCGATGGCGCCTTGTATGCTTAATCTTCTCAACAACAAAAGTTCTAACTGGCCAACAATAAAATGTTGATGTTCTTCACATTGGGAGAAAGGTTAGCTATAGGACCACACTAATTAAAATCCCCAGATCAGGTTGAGAAATCACCTTCACGCATCTTGGTGGAAGGGGATCTAGAGGTCTTTGTGCACAGCAGTGGATTCAGCTATCCCTGCCAAACATTAAAAAGCTATTGTTATGGCTTGTGTCTAGTTGTCCCCCCAAAGCCTCATGCAGTCATGGGGCGGACTTCCAGAGTTTGTGATTACTCATGATTCACGGGGATTATGGGTGTGAGTGCTGCTGGGATTATGGGTGTGAGTGCTTCTGGCATTACGGGTGTGAGCGCTACACCCAGCCTGGGCGGATAGCCTAAATGCAATGTAAGTGGAACAGACTTGTTCTCTGTCGTCACTGTTGCCACTGCTCCTGCCTTTTTGCTTTCTGCACTTTGCCACCACCATGAAAGGTTGCTCTCTGCCCTGGGCCGCTCTGCCTTGGAGCCAGCTGAGTATGGACTGAAAGCTCCAGTAACTGTGAGCTAAATAAACCTTTGCTTCCTTCATTTTGGGTGTCGGGTATTTGTTCCAGCAGCAAGAGAAGAGTAACTGAGACAGCTATCTATTTACAAGCAGAAATCTTTGCCTACTTGCAGGAAGTTGGCAAAAAAAAAATTATTGCTGCAACATTGTTTCTAATAGTTAAAAAAAATAGGAAAACAACTCAAATATGTATCAAGGACAGACTATTGAAATATAGGATATCAGGGCAGGGAAGTTAGCTCCATGGCACTGCAGCTGCTTGGCAAGAGCAGGTCTTGAGTTGGATTCCTGGGACCAAATAAATAGATTAAATAAATAAATAAAATGTATGATATCAATGAAATGCAGTCTAAAAGAAATGAAGCAAAATATGTACATGAGGTGAACAGAGAGATCTGCTAATTCACTGAGCAAAGAAGGTCCTGGATGTGCTGAGAGTTAGGATAATGATTTTTCAAGCCCGAAGGACAGGAAATCATGTTATCCTGAACCGTGCACAGGTGGGTTCCCAGGGGCAGGACTGCCAAGGAATTTTACCCTTGAAGTCAATTATTCCTATAGCATTGGTTCTCTTCCTAAATGGGATTGCTTTCAATAAAAAGGTCAAAATTCCAGAGTAAAAAATCAAGTGGAGAGAGAGCTCAAGATGGTGAAATGCAAAAGCCTGGCCCCACTCACTCCCCGCTCAAACACAGACGCTACCAAAACCAGGTGGACAGAGGTCCCAGCTCGCCACCAGCTCTGCCTCCTCCTGCTGCTTCAGCGGGGATGGAAAGGTGGATGGGTAGGGAGATAGAGGACTGACAGATGATTGATGATAGATGAAACTAGATAGTTAGAAAGATAGACAAATAGATGAGATGGATGATAGATAGATAGATAGATAGATAGATAGATAGATAGATAGATAGATAGATAGATAGACAGACAGACAGACAGACAGACAGACAGACAGACAGACAGACAGACAGACAGACATCTGCTGGTTACTTCTGCCAGTTTAAAGTTTGGATCAGGCCCTCCCCTGGCCTCGAGAGCCACTTTGGAGTCACTCTCTCTGCAGGCTAAGGTGCAGCCAACCAGCTCTTCACCTTCCCCTCCTCCTGCCAATTCCATGCACACATTCCTGCTCATGTGCCCAGGCTTTGCCCAGGGGATGCCCTACATATGCAAAGCTGAGGCTGACTTATGCAGGTCTAGAGCAGAGTGCAGTTTCTTGTTTGAAGTGTAGCTCTCCATTGGAGGGGCAGAGGGCTGACTAAGTCTGGCAGAGGTGATGAGCTGGGTGTTCATGTAAAGCTCTTGGGACTCTGCAGGTGTGGGCAGGCAGCTTCCGCTAGGCATTAGCAGACAGCAGGGAGAGGGGCATCCAGCTGCAGAACCTGGGGAGGGGAGGTGTCCAGAAGCCAGGAGGGCCCGCTGCAGTTTGTACTAGACTGGGGTGGGGAGCAGAAGGTGCAGGTGGCAGCTGTCGTGTTCAGTTGCTTATCCCAGATCTGCATTCTGTTCCACACTCTCCATCTGGGAGGCTGAAGCACTCCACAAGGGGAGGGCCAGCCCCTGCCTGCACACACTGCTGCCTCGTGTTGTGTGCCACAGCCATGAACAGCACAGCAGGGTGGGCACCCCACACATAGATCCTGTGCCGACTGATCCTCAGGTGGGGCCAACTCCAGGAAAATGATACAGTGGGCAAGTATGCAAAGAGAATAAGCCCTGTGAGACTCTGTGTGTGTGTGTGTGTGTGTGTGCGTGTGTGTGTAGAGATATAGATTTGAGGCAAAAATCTGATGTCCCAAGAGATCAGGGAACACTGGACTGAGCCCAAGGAGGGTTGC